CCTGTATAAAATGCCTAAAAATACTATTCCCTACTATGGATTGTGTTGTTGGATGACATTAGTGACTGTGCGGTGACTGCTTGTTGGCTCGTTTTCTTTCCGTTCTTTCCGTCTTTTTCATCTCGATGCTCGACACCTCGCGTCGCCAGAGAAAAGCTTCATCCCCCCCGACAAAACGCGTCTATCCGTGTTAATAGCCGTGTCGTTTCGATTTGATTTTTTATTTTTTTTAATATGCCGCGCAAATGTCAGGAATTCGATTCGAAATCGGGAAGACTCGATTCGCGACGAGTCGGGGGAGGATAATACGAGCGAGGCGCGAGAATCGAGCGTTGATCGAAATTTATTTCTATCCCTTTTTAGGCCCCGAGATAATCGTCTGCCTGTAAATATACGCGCCTACTGATTAGTTGAGTTCTGTGAGATGTACATATGTTTCTTTCAGAGGTACGCGCGTTCGCGCGCGCCTCTTTTTCACTTTTCACTGTTCGAATAATTTTCCGACTTTTCTCACCGGCTCTTTTAGTCGCCTTTCTTCAGTTTCTCATTGTGAGATTAGAACATACGGGTGTATATTCGGACTCTTTCTTAATTTCGGGCCCCGTGTTGTATCGTATGCCTTTGTGTGACTGTACATGCGCTCGACGGCTACAAATGTGGGTATGTACCGCAATTTAGAAAATGTCTCAGAATTGTAAATCGCACCTGTTACCGAGTATTTCAACGAGTGCGTTTTCTGTGTTTGTGTATATACGTTTGGTATACGCGTATAAGTGCATCATGAAAAGAGACACGGAGAAGGACGGACGCCTCTTAATACACTGCGCCCTTGATTTTGTTTATTTAACTCGTTGCACGATTTTTACAAGTCTTTAAATATGCCAAAGGTCACTTTTTAAAAATATAAGTTATATCGTCTTTATTTTTTTTTCTCATTACTCTTTCGTTCTCATGCATTTTGTCTTTCTCTCTTTCTCTCTTTCATTCTCTTTCTCTCTTATCTCATATTTATACACTTTCACTCTTGCTCATTCGCACATTGTCACTGGTACTTCTGTATTCACTTGCATCGTTATTCTCTTTCTCTCTTTTTTATATATTTTTTTTATTCAAACTTTTTCTCTTTTATTCTCTCTCTGTCTCTCCTGTTAGCTTTGTTCTTCTCTCGCTGTTTTTAAGTCTTTTGTCATAAAATCCTTGTCTATTATTAATAGTACTCATTTTCTTCATTATTTCTATTTGACTCTGTTCTAACGAGGAAATTCCCTAAAAATAACATTAGTTCTATCAGTTCAATTATCAGTGTAGCATTTTGAATGTGCATTTGACAATACATGACGTCCACAAGTGTAAACAAGGAAAAAATCAATGATTTGATATAGATTTGGAGACACAACAGCTTCCAATACAAAAGTATTTATATATAAAAAAATATATGTAAATCCTAAATAAAATATAAAAATATTTCTCGTGCAGAAAGATTGCAACAACAGTACTAAAAGACAGAATAACAAAATAAAAAGAAAGAAAAATATATCAAATTTCGCAAAATAAAATTAATAAATGAAATTGCAGACGTCCCGAATTACGGCAAATCGTTAATTCATTACTTCTTTTTTCTCACAACTTTATAAATAGTAACATCAAATTCCTTTCGCTAGTATCGGGGGTAAGTGCTTCAAAATTTACATGATTTACAGCTATAATTCTAGCGTTGCGTTCGTCAGTGCCCTGTTGCCGCGAGTTATTAACTTGTTATTAACATTAGTATTAAAAGAGGGCTCTTTACATTTCTCTTTTAATTCGCGTCCCATTTACTACTCGCTCAGTGTGCCGAAATCTTTAGGGGAAGGGGGAGGAATGTTTATTATACAAATTTCGCGATGCTCGACCGATATAATTCATTCGTTTCGTCAATTTTTCTTTCTTTCATTCAATCCTTCTTTTTTTTTCGCACAAAGATGATCTAGCACGAGCTGCGCCGCACTTTTTACGTTTGCCCTTTCTATCATCCTCTATTCCTTTCTCCCTTTACATACACACACACTCACCCATCTATGCATATACACACACGAACACACACGCACATGTTCGCATTTTTTTCTTTAAAATCGTGTAATTTACAATTACTATACAACATGACTGAAAATACCTTAGACCACGATAATACAATTATAATCGTACTGTTTTTTTAATTTTTTTATTACCACTTAATTTTATGTATGCTTTTATTTTTTTATTCCTCAGTATTCATCTCATTTTTCTTGTACGCGAGTATCATAAAACATTTATGTTCACTTATCATACCTCGTACAACGAGAACATACTGCTTCTCCTAAGGTTCTTTAAAGTTTTCTTAGATACTTACATCTCTACCTATGTATAACGATCTCTACCTACATATATATATATATATATATATATATATATATGTATATATATATATATATATATGTATATATAATACTCTAGCTGTTCTTCTCAAACACTCTCGGGCGCATACGCTCTATTCTCACATTCCTCGTCATCTATAATATTCATCTGTCTATCTAAGTGCCTATCTAACGATTTTAGCTATCCATCTATCTAAACGTCTAGCTACTTTTTTATTCAAAGTATCCGAGCTTTTCTCTCGCCGTTACTTAATTGCTCGTGCCACTATCTCGTTCGATATATATCTACAGAGCTCGTTGGTCGCCTCGATTGGAAATGCCGGAAACGCTCGTCGTGACGACAAAGACCTTTCGTCGGAAAAAGTCTTCCCCCTTTTTTTTTTTGCGGCATCGGCTCTCGTGACCTCTTCTTTAACACTAAGTCTAAATACGAACTCAGTGTGGAGGTGCACGAGTCTGAAGAGCAAATTATACATACGTGGACTCTGGCTCTAACAAGGACCATTATCTTCAGTTACTTTCGTTCCAGCGGCTGGCATGGAATTTAACGAGAGGTCGTCGAGGTCAGAGACGAGACTTTGCATCTTTCGCGCGGCCATTTTTTTTCCCTTGTACTACGCGTACTTTTAATTACATCTCGCCCGTCGGAAAAAAAGATCGGGGATGAAGAGGGCAGGGGGGGGGGGGAAATATCGCGAACGCGACGACGACCACAGTATCCGAATATGGCTATCAAAAAGACGTCTGGCTTCATGGCCGTTATACCTTAAAATTGTAAATGCTACATATATATATACATATATATATGTATATTTATTTATAATTAATCGTGAACATGGTAACAAATAATGAAACATTGAAAAAATTGCACAATATACAAACTCAGTATTCGGCTCGTCTCCTCCCTTAGATTCTTTCAGGTATGGAATACCCGTGGAAAGAAATATACATACGCACATGTACTCGCACACGCACATACACACGCTCAGACGCAAATACATATACACGCGCGCATCGACGCGCGACCCACGCAGACATAACACAGCCGCACTCGCATGCACATGCACTCGTACGAACCATGCCGATCCTCCGTCAGTCGGACTTATTCGGTAGGTACGGTATATCTTTAGATTCTACGTGCGTATCAATTAATTTATTTGGCCACTGAACATTTAAAATTTAGTTATTTTTCTTATTTCTCATCTCCTTGGCTCTTACGGTCAGGTAAGATTAGTCTTCTTGAAGTTTTCTCCTTTCCTCGTTTTTTTTTTTTTTTTTTTTTT